CAATGAATGCTATGACGAAAACCGGGCAAGCCGCCAACTAGGGCACCTCGCCGGATTTGAAGGTTCATTGCAGCCTTCCGCTTGCGGCAACCAAGACCTCACTGGATCCGAGGCACCGCCACCCATGTGCCTCCCCTAAACATCACGCCAAAAACCAGGCGAGCCACCAACTATGCTGCCTCGCCGGATCCCAACATCGTCGTCACCTTCCGCGTGCAGCAACTACGACATCGCCGGATCCAGTCACCGCCGCCTCAGTCTTGCCTTGTTATGTGCCGCTTCAACCGTCGCCATCATTCGTCCCCATGTTGGCCTGCCGAAAAAATAAAAATTGGATACACTTACACTTTGGTTATAGCTTAGGTGATCTATTACTAAATAGGAAAAAGTACGAATTACCCCATGAACTATCGTGGTCGACCGAATTACCCCCTTGAACCCAAAATCTAGGTATTGCTCACCCTAAACTTTTAATATCAGACAGATTACCCCCCTCGACACTGTTTTGAGCGGTTTTGACTTGAGTTTGCACACGTGGCGCCAATGTAGTGCACAGTCAGAAAAAAACTCTCTGGAGCCCACTTGTCATACCCCTCCCTTCCCGGTCGCTCTCTCTCTCTCTCGTGCACGCGCTTGGACGACAAGCGGGAGCAGACCGGGCGGCCGGCGACGTAGGCGGAGGACGACCGGGCGGCAACACCGCGCTGCCCACCACTCCTCTCTCTCTCTCTCTCTCTCTCTGTGTCCCGTACACACGCTTGCACAAGCTGAAGTAGACCGAGAGGCCGGCGACGCAGGCGGAGGACGACCGTGCGGCAACACGGCGCCGCCACCACATCCCGTGCCGCTGCCCACCGTCCACCCCCACACGCCGCCGTGCGAGCCGACCACCAGCCTCCTCTCGACCTGCGCCGGCGGCCAACGATGCCCGTGAGAGAGAGAGAGAGAGAGAGGAAGAGGGGAAGAGGAGGCGGAACCCGACGGCGCACGTCTCCTCTTCCGGCTTCGGTGAGGCGGCCCGCTTGCTGCCGACCGAAGCTTCCTCCCAATCGCTCCCGTCGCTGCCTAGAGCACACTCCCAGCCGCGCCCCCTCCCCACCGCTCCCGCCGCCGACTGGTTCCCCCTCCCACCGCCCCCGCCGCCGACTGTAGCCACTTAGTCGCGGTCGATGTTGCTCGGTGTCAACCGGTTCCCCCTCCCGCCCGCACGTGCCACTGGCCGCATCCACCAAGTCGCACCCGCCGTCGCTCGCCTAGCCGTGCCATGAGCCGCTCGCCGCCGCCGCATAGAGAGAGAACTCTGATGGTGGCCGGTACGCCTCCGCCTCCATCGCCGGCCGCCCAGTCCGCCTCTGCCTCTGCCACCGGCCGCCCGGGCGAGTTCTTCCTTACTGCCCGCTGCTGACAGCCTGGTCTACCTCCGCCTGCGCAACCGCCTGATCGAGCGCGTGCACGGGAGAGAGAGAGAGAGCGCGCGACCAGGGAGGGAGGGGTATGACAAGTGGGCCTAGGGAGTTATTTTTTTTGCTGACTGGATTGCCACGTTGGCGCCACGTGAGCAAGCTCAGGTCAAAACCGCTCCAAACAGTGTCGAGGGGGGTAATCCGTTCGGTATTAAAAGTTTAGGGTGAGCAATATCTGGTTTTCGGGTTCAGATGGGTAATTTGGTCCACCGCGATGGTTCAGGGCGTAATTCACACTTTTTCCTACTTCCTCCGTTTCACAATGTAAGTCATTCCAGCATTTCTCACATTTATATTGATATTAATGAATCTAGTAGATATATATGTCTAGATTCATTAACTTCAATATGAATGTGGAAAATGCTGGAATGACTTACACTGTGAAACGGAGGGAGTACTAAATAAACCAATGATTAAATGATGGCACCAATAAAAATGTTGCTTGCTACAATTGCATTGGGCGATCTGGTTCTGGCAAACTGGTAACTTCAAATTTTCCAGGCTTTATTTTGTGTACATAAGAGATGAAAGCTGTGCAGTTTTTTATCTAACAAATTTTTTTCAACAGTTTTGGGCTTTTTTTTTTCTTCCCTCTACTCACACCAGGAAAATTAGCATCCGTAGAGTATCCGAGTGTAGTAATATCAATTGAGGCCAAAAAGACATATGATAGTCGCTATGCTACTCAATAATATGAAATAAAAACTCCTCCTAGGAAGAAGACCATTTTTAGGGTCACTTGGATTTGTATGAAAAACATATATAGGAATTTTGAAGGATTTCAATCTATAGGACAAATTCTTATGAATACCTTTGAAACAAAGGATTAAATCATATCTTATCTTGAGATTCTTATGAAATGAATAATCTTATAAAGATTGTGGCGCAAGAGCTATAACATCTTAGAAAATTTTCTTCGAGTCTATCTTTCTTATTTGATTACTATGTTTTTTCTGCGACCCAATCAAACGGTCATTTAATTGTTTTCCATGTGTTTTACAATCCTCTATATTAGACTTACATTACTGTCAAAATCATGTGTGTTCATATTTCTTGGTTTTTCATTCCTATCATTTAAAGGGAACTTTAGGCTTTGTTTAGATGGGCCTCAATTTTGGCCTATTCAAACAAGCCCTAATAACGGTTCGTAATTATCCTACCGGGCCTTTAGAGACCAATATGGCACTACTATGTTTAGGGGGTTATATGGGCACCCTATTAATAAGTTAGGAGCATTACATGCGTGTTTATAGGGGTGAGTGTCTATGTCGTACCGTGTAATTCTCAAAAGAAGTTGACAAAGATAAATCCTTGTGTTCTTGTCCTCTGCTTTTCATACTGATGGAGAGCAAAAGGCTTGATCGTTAATTAGTAGCGCCCACCCTGATATTGTAACAAGTTGTTTTTATTTATTTTCCTACCTGTCATCCTGTGCTAACTCTTGTAGTTCTTTTCTTTTTAGAGAAACACCAGTTTACTGTTAATACAGTCTCAATCAATTGTATATCAGCAACAAACCTTTTATACATGTAGCAAGGTAGGAGCAGGCAGGTAGCAACAAGATCAACAGAATCGGATGCATTTTTCTTTAAATAAAAACAATGGAAATTAATCCAGCCTTAGCATCGGATGCGCGCGCGCCCACACACACATATATATATGAGTTGGATTTTTTTTTGCACGCGAGTTCACATGTACCCACAATCTACACCCTATATGTATCTTGCACGAATCTTAGGACAAGTATATTAGGTGCTAACAAAATGTAACATGCATGATATTTACGTTATACTATATTTTTTTACAAGTGTAAAATACCTTGTTTATATAATTTTTGTATTTCTTGTATGCAAAACTTGTTTATGTAGTTTACCTTGTTTATATAAATTATCTTGTTTATGTAGTTTTTGATGGTAGGATATATATTATTTTGGAAATATCATTTTTGTAAGATGACAATTTGGTGATATATATAGTAGATATATTGTTTTCTCATTATGTTACAAACAAAATAAGGGTTAGAGAAATACAATGCACTAGATATATAAATGTCATATATGATTATTATTGAAAAGTTTATTTGGTAAAAAATGCAACATACATGTTATACATATTGTGAACCAAGCTAATCCTAATTATCTTTTCTTCCTATAGTAAGCATTCATTTGGTTAAGGTTAGGTACATTTTGCAGCACAAATCTTGTAACATATCAACGGTGTAGATTGTAGGTACATATAAACCCGAGTGCAAATCTGTATTTTCCTATATATATATATATATATATATATATATATATATATATATATATATATATAGTAAATTTGTTTGGTGCTCCATGGTGCCCGGGCACCATTGTTGAAATTGAGTATATACCCAATTCAAATGAGCATGAAACTTTTTCAATTATTTAGGTATTAATATTAACTACTTTACTAACTAGTTGAAAGCAAGTTTGAACTGAATTTGAACTTGTTTTTGTTAGATTTTGATTCTAGGTATATAGCATCCATACATATAATTAGTTAGGTATGTAATCATGGATTGTGAAATAAAGTTAAATTTGAGTTGTTTTGTTGATAGGTATAGGTATGAATCGAATTCTTATAACTAGGTATATACTCACAATTTGAAAATTTTGAAAAATTTGAGTGATTTTGTGCATTTGAAACCATGGTGCCCGGGCACCATGGTGCCCCATATGAGTGTCCTATATATATATATATATATATATATATATATATATATATATATATATATATATCAAAGTGTTCCCTGCAAAAAAAAGAAATTAAAAGTAGACGAGTACTCCCTACCAGCGAAGCATAGAATCTGTCATTCTTGTCACCGACAGCCGACGTAATCATGTTAATTAATTATCACGACTAACTAAGCTGTTCTTTATCACCAGCAAAATTGACGTGGCATGCGATGCTTGCAACCACTTGCCACAAGCTGCAAGGGCAAGCAGCTCTTTGGAAATTAATACTAGTAATAATAATTAATTTTGTCAATCAGTGTGTGTGAACTATCTCACCTTCACAACGCTGCATCTTTCTACACCCATCCTGTTTGCCACGCCACCTTCCAGTCATCACGTAAGCACGCATACTAAATATACACAAATATCCCATTAGAAATTTTACCATGCATCTATAACCTAAATTGCAAAAATATAAACAAATTAATTTGACTCTTATTTTGCCATAGAAACTTCAATGGAACACAAACCCCACCCTGCATTTGTCTGATTTTATAGGGATTTTCACACAAACTAGTTCGACACTCGCAAAATAAAAATCCTTTGAGTGCCATGTGTTGATACTTCTACTCGAATTGGAATGATATGCTTTGCTTCGTTTGGAAGGGGAGGGGGGAAAATTTTTTCTAAAGTGCTCATGACCGTCTGAAAATCACACGATTTACGTCTAAATTTAGTTTTCCACGTGTCGCCGTTTAACAAGGCTACGGGCCCAATCAAGGCCCACTAAAAATAGCAAAAGGCCCCCCCATTTGAACCCCACCCTCCCCGCCATTAATCCTCGCCGAGCGCCGCCCATTCTCTCGCCGCCGCCGCCGCCGCCGCGATCGCCGGAGCCCGGAGTCCCCCCCAACTCCGCCGGCGATCGCGTCGCGCGCCCGAATCAAATGGCCTCCGAACCCACCGCGGCGGCGGGCGCTCCGGCCCCACAGCCCGCCGCGCCGCGGAGGCGGCCGCCGTGCGTCCTCAGCTTCTCGCTGGCGCGCGACCGGTTCCTCCGCCGCCGCTTCTTCTCGGCGGGGCTCCGCCCCTTCTCCATCCGCCTCCCGTCCCCCGCCGGCGCCGGGACCAGCGTCCACGTGTGGGCGCCGCCGCGGCCGGCGCGCCGCCCCGTCCTCCTCCTCCACGGCTTCGGCGCCTCCACCACGTGGCAGTGGGCGTCCTACCTCCGGCCGCTCCTCGCCGCCGGCTTCGACCCCATCGTCCCCGACCTCCTCTTCTTCGGCGACTCCTGCACGCTCGCCGCCGACCGCTCCGAGGTGTTCCAGGCGACGGCCGTCAAGGCCGCCATGGACGCCATCGGGGTGAGGCGGTTCGACGTGGTCGGCGTCAGCTACGGCGGGTTCGTGGCCTACCGGATGGCCGCCATGTACCCGGAGGCGGTGGACCGGGCGGTGATGGTGTGCGCCGGGGTCTGCCTGGAGGAGACCGACCTCGCCGCGGGCCTCTTCCCCGTCGCCGGCGTCGCCGAGGCGGCCGAGCTGCTCGTCCCGAGCCGGCCGGCCGACGTGCGCCGCCTCGTCCACCTCACCTTCGTCCGGCCGCCGCCTATCATGCCCTCCTGCTTCCTGAGGGATTACATTAACGTCAGCCATTTAATCTCTTCATCTCTTGTTAATTCCTTTGTTAATCCACATTTTTTCTTTTAATTATATAATTATATCCTGTTAATTGGGACGGATGAACGCATCAGGTGATGGGCTCAGATCACAACCAGGAGAAGACAGAGCTGTTGCACACTCTCATCAATGGCAGGAAACTCTCAGATCTTCCGAAAATCAGCCAGGTAATTTACTTTTCTTATTTCAAACTGGCAATCACCATTCATCAGTGATGTGTTGACTGATTGTGTGTTCCTCAACCTAACTGTGCAGCCAACTCTGATAATTTGGGGGGAGCAAGATCAGGTGTTTCCAATGGAGCTTGCTCATAGATTGGAGAGGTTTGTTTGATTGATGCATTCACTCTGATTTTTTGTACAAAACATTGTACCAATTTCCAAACAGAGTTACTGAATTTTGATAGATCCAGAAACATGCATACCAAACAGAGTTTCCTTATACTGACAAAATTAACAATGCCATCGATGAACAGGCATCTCGGGGAGAAATCTCGATTGGTGGTTATCAAGAAAGCTGGGCATGCAGTCAATCTAGAGAAGGACAAAGAGGTGTGCAAGAATATCGTCGAGTATCTGCGAGAACCGATTTTGAGTGCTCTGAATGGTGAAAAGGTATGAACCTCTGTTCTTCTGCTTCCAGATTTTCCTTTTCTGTTCAAAATGAATGACAGTTATTGAGACTTTGTATATCATGTTCAGTAGATTTGTTTCAGATCTTCAATTTCAGTAATTGGTAAAAACCAAATCAATCTGTCATCTCATTTTGTGAAGATAAAACCGCTGTTTTCATACAATTCACATTCCTGTTACATACTGTGTTATGTGGCCTTCTGACATGGGTATTGGCAATGGTTAAAAGCATTAACCTTGTTGACTGAATCAGGAGGTGCAGCTGCATTAAAGGTGGATATTACAGTACTTGGGGAATCACCATGAAGAGGCTGATTAATAGGATTACAGATGTATGACGATCTTCTTCAGTTTGTAGAGCGGCTGGTGTAACAAAAGGAAAAATGTAAACCACGTGGACTGGATTTGGGGAAGGCAGCTTGTGTTTTGTAAAGGATGGGTTCAGAGAAGGGGAAATTTAAGCTGATTTAGCTCTCTTCTTACCGAGTCATGTCTGGATGTGACTGAGCTTCTAAACATGGCCATGCCGAAAACCATCGGTTTCAGACGGCCTTCTTATTTTTTTTGCTACTTACATGTAAGACGAACACTTTGACGAACCACTACGCATACACACCGCAAGCACACGTATGGGTAGTATTGTGCGCACTAGGATTTGAACCACGACTCTACCACCACACCTCTGTTTGCTTCCCTTCAGTCTCAGACTTCAGTTTCATCTTACCATGTCTGCTTATAGCATAGTATGCACTAGTGCTATTCAGGGTTTGCAATTTCGTTTTGGATATTTCTACCAGGGGCACCGAAGTTTCTGAAACCTAGGGAATTTGGAACAAAATTATTTGAAATTTAAACACTTTTGGACTGAATTCAAATAAATTTCGACCAAATTCACAAATATTGGAAAACATCTGAAAAATTTCGGGAGAACAAGCAGCAGAAACATTTGTTCATTACTCCAAGTAGACATTAGACACAATTCACACAACAGCCTTATTACAACAGTGAGCCACAGCTAGCAGGCTCAAGGAAGGTATAATCCATGGATGAAAACCAAGTATAGTCTTCTTCTAGAGCTCCAGGACCTTGTCTGTGTGAGCCAGACTAAGCTGAGATACATGACGATTTTCTCACACGATGACACAAACTATTTAACCCAATACTAGTTAATTAATTAGCCGACCGATTCGATATTCGATCGATTCGCAGTTTATTTCGGTACAATAATAATAATAATGTTATTGTCCATGGTGTCGGGCCTAGCGGTTTTACAGGACGAACGGCTTGCGGTAGATGTCGAACATCTCAGAGCAAGACAGGTTAGGCTCCTGCATGCAAAAAATGGACAGAATCAGTTCAGAGATGCAAATATAACTACGAATGTACGATAACTATTTTTAATTTAATTTAATTTTTTTTGTTGTAACTTCTAGAAGTCGAATTTAAATTGGGCTATGGAGAACGTACCTGGATGCCGCTGAAGTTGGCGACCTTGCGGATGGGGGCGCCGATGGGGCCCTGCAGGTTGCAGGTGACGCCGCCGTCGCGCATGATGCTCCTCATGGTGGTGAGCAGGCTGCCGTAGGTGGCGCGCGGCTCGCACTCCACCGCCTTGATGAAGCTGTGCGTCATGGCCCCCACCGTCGACGCCTCCGGCAGCTGCAGTGCAGTGCACGCGATCGTCGTCGTCAGGCAAGATCAAGAGAAGGATCAATCAATCGATGTTGGCAATGGTGGCTGACCAGGCTATGCTTGTTGTTGCCGTCGCTGCAGCCGCTGAAGAGCATGGCCTGGCCGCCGCTGGAGCCCTTGTAGGCGCCGGTGGGCGGGCGGTGGTCCTCCCACTGCCAGCCGCCGGACCTGGACGAGAGGCAGCAGAGGAAGGGGAGGTCGAGGACGGTGGAGCTGTGCTCGGCGTCGACGACGGCGTGGAGCTTGGCGCCGTGGACGAGCGGGCGGACGATGGCCTCGTTGATCTCGTCGTCCAGGATGGGGCCCTGGCTGAACGAGTCCATGGGGCAGATCGCCTCGTCGTACCCGTCCACCTCGTCGCCGTCGTCGTCCGGCACCTGCACCCCGATCCCGGAGAAGTGGAACACCAGCGAGTCACCGGAGCTGCACCCCTGCACCAGCCAGTTCATCGCCATCCTGATGTTCTCCTTCGTCGCCAACCTGCACGGGTCCTTCTCCTCGTCTACAACAATTAATCAATCCCAGTGAGTGAGTCAATCCACCATGGCCGGCCGGCGAGCGAGGTGAGGTGAGAGGGTGGCTGTGGGTGGCTCACCGGTGAGGATGAGGACGCAGTCGTTGGGGAAGCCGAAGCGCTCGCAGAGGAGGTACCGCATGCACTTGACGTCGTTGACGGGGCCCCTCATCAGCTGGCTGCCGCGCCGCCGCATGCCGGCGTACGTGATGCCGATCAGGACGGCGCGCTTCTTGCCGCGGGAGCCCGGGAAGAAGCCGCCGCCGGCCACGGGCATCGGCACGGCCGGGCGCCACGGCTCGACCGGGTTGGGGTGGCGGCGCCGGCCGCGGCCGCCGACGCGCGTCACGCCGTAGCACTGCGCGCACTGGATGACGCGGGCGCCAGGCATAGCCGGGAGGGACGCGCTGCAGTGCCTGCACCGCACCGCGCCGCAGCCGCCGCCACCGCCGAAGCCGAGAGCACGTCCGCCGAAGTGATCCATTGCCGAGATAGCTAGAGCTAGCTAGCAACTACGTTAGTTTGCTTGTTAGTCTCGAGCGATCTCACCAGGCTGCACAGCTGCACCTCTCCTCTCCTCCCCCTTTATATAGCACAGATGATGATTCCTTTGCTACCAGATCTTTTCTCCAAGGATACATCACTTTATATTGTATATCTCTACTATTATAAAAATGAAGATGTTTTTGCCAGTACTTTGGTACGTCACCCGTGTATGAGTGTGTTTTTAAGTTCGTTCGCTTTTAAAAATATAGATCCGTATTTTAGTCGGGTTTTAAGTTCGTTTACTTTTGGAAAGATGGAAGGAGTCGTATAAGAAATCCCTTTAAGAAAACTCGCATGCTAACTTGAGATGATCGAACTCCTAATTGTAGCTCATGTTTTTCTAGAAAAATATATATCCAATATAATTCTCACAGTAGATTTCACCTTAACTAAATTGTACAACAATAATAAAATTAAAATAGCTTCACCCGTTCCAACGCACGGGCATTTTTTTAGTAAATTAAATAAGAAAAATATTTTTTATTCCCTTCATACTATAACCCAGTGAATTTATTTTGGGCTCATGTAATTATATACAGAAAAACTATTTGATAGTATTCTATCAAGATGAGATAAGTGGTTAACGGTTCAGTCTTATCCATTTCTTTCTCTCGAGTCTTGGTCATCCTCCTCCTCCTCCTCCTCCTCCTCTCCACATAGAGTTTCTCTGTGCAGGCATGGCAGTGGTGGTATGCTGGAGCAGGCTCCCGAAAACGGATCTAGAGGCCTAGGTCCTTCCCACTGTTGGATCCAGCTCGACTACACGCTGGCAACAACGATGGTGGGTGGCACCAGTCTCGTGGCCTCTTCCTCCATCTCATGCTTTTGAGGCATGGCAGCACTCACTGGATCTAGCATTCTTCTAGCTTCCATTATGGCCAGGGGCCAACTAGGAAAAAGTGAGGCCGTCGGGAAGAATGTTGACCGCAGTGAGCGCCTCGGCCTCCTCCTTCTAGACGCGTTGTCGATGATGATGGAAGGGTGTGATCACTGAAGCTTCTAGATCTAGAGCCTTCAGTGGCATAGGTGTGATGGTGAGCCATCATGCTCCTCGCCGGAGTATGTCCAGGTACGTCGTACGGTGTATCATGCCTGATACATGTGGTATACTTCTAAAACCCAAATATCAGACCCAGTACACGTAGGTACCAAGCCTGGTACCTAAGGTATCATGGCTGGTACCACATGTATCGGACTTGATAGCTGGTACCTGCAAGGTATCATGTATCAAGCACAGTGCCTCCTCTCTTCTTCTCCTTTCCCCTCAACCCGACCCTCATTCCTTGTTGTTGCCGTTGTCACTAGTGTCTTTGCCTATGCCGCTGCAGGTGCTGGCTCAAGACACGGAGGGAGTGGGCATGTGGAGTGTGTGTGTGTGGGGGGGGGATGACACTAGACTTGCAAGGAGGAAGCAGATGCGTGGGATGATGTCAACCTCCATAAAGTATCCTGTCCGGACAGTATCCCGTGCTCTAGTTGTCCTCAATTATATATCGAGATGGCTAAAATGGTTGGTGACAAATTTTTTTTGGCCAAAATCATGCATATTACTGACCTTGGGATTTGCTTCACGATTCGTGCTCGAGCGACCCCTACTCTTCTCCTACAGCTCTGATAACACCTTCCTCTCCAACTCCGGCAACACTGACAAAGGTAGTGGAGTTAGGGTTTAGAGTCCCGGGTTAGGGTAGGGGTGGGAGAGTTGTGGGGCAAGGGGGAAGAAGGGAAATCGTCTGGCTTGAAGGGATGGCTGTGGGAGGCGGCGGCCTTGCGGTGGGCGATGGTCACGGGTGGGCGGCGAGACGGTGGTGGTGGCACCAAAGTCGCGGAGATGGTGGGCGGTGGGCTAGTGATGACGGCTAGGAAAATCGGAGCTTGTGATTAGGAGGCGGTGGCTAGTAGTGGTGGATCTGGCGGTAGGGAGCTGTCGAAGACGGGGAAGACGGCTGGGCGAAGCACTTGCACGTCGGTTTGGGTAAGAAAGGGGGGCGGGGTGGAGGAGGCTAGCTAGGGAGGGGGTGGGCGACGTCAGCGCCGTTGACCCCTTCTAGCCAGCTGGCGAGGCCGGGTAGTGGCATGTGGGGGTGGAGGTGAGGTGCAGGCATCGCACGCGCACAAGATCACAAGCGGTGGCTGTGGTGCTGAGAATGATATGATGAGGGATGAGGGGTTAGGGTTAGAAATATAGTGCACGAATCTTAAAGCGATCCAATGGAATTGAAATTCTATGATTTGTGAGGTGTTTTTCTGTCAAATAGCATATAGACAGTCCCATATGATATTCTTATTTGGGACTGCTGCAATACAAAGTTTCATGACAACTTTTAAAAATAGTGACAAATATCCGGTGAGAAATATGCATAGACAATGCTGTCATATTGGAACAATTGAGGCAGTCCTTTCCTTTCTCTTTTCAAAATCAAGGGAATATGTATAAAGCATGTGATCTTTCTTTTTCTTGAAATGAAATGTGTATATTAGTGATTGTGCTATGGCTCTTTTTCTTTTTGGAAAATGACTTTGGTTCTGTAACATATCACATTGGCTTGTGGTTGCTTATGTAAACACCCAACCAGCAAACCTCTCCCTCTTTTTTCTTTCCTTCCCCCTTTTGTAGAGCGGACTGCAATGACATGTGATTCGTTGATAACAGGGTTCTGGGCATAGATCCCCTGGAGTTGCCTTCCAACTCCACCCGGTGGATTTGGACCGATCTGACCCCTTACTTTGTTTCTACAGGCTAGATGTGGCCATGTCACCTCTTCCTAGTTACTCATTTACGACAGAAATAGCAGTTCTATTCTCTGTTTGTTTTTTCTTGCGAAGTCTGTCCATTTGGATCTAGCGTCTCGGAAGAGCACCGTGGATAGGAAATTATCTATAAACTTTTCTTAACCGAGCTGTTATAAAATTAACGGCATCAACCGAGCTGTTATAAAATTAACGGCAATGAGGCCCTCATGGAACTAATTCATCGATGTGCAATGTTCGTGTCTTGTTTGTTCTTCTCTAATTGCTGTTAGAAAATTCGAAGATAACATGTTCTCTACGAGATAATGTTTTTTTTATAAGCTGTACAATATTTTTTTAAAAAGAAAATAGGCTCTACAAAATAACTGTGGTGGAAGAAGAGACGGCTTAATTGAAGCCATCGAAATTAAAGGGACGGCTTGGATTTAGTGAAATCTACCCAGTTGTCGGTGACATGGGACCGGGGGTATCTTGACTAGAGGTTTGGGGCAGCCGCGGTCACCCACGTGGCCTGACCCCCTCGGGGGGGGGGGGGGGGGGGTCGGGCCCGAGGGTGATGTGGCCGCCCCTCCCTCTGTCTCCCCGAGGGGTCGGGCCGCTCCCGTTTCGGCCCCGAGGGCTGGGGCGCCCCGACCCCCTGTGGGTTTGGCGCTACGTGTGTGGGTTAGGTGAGCACAGCGGCGCTCACCTAACCGCGTTTATTGCGGGTTGGACGAGCGCCCCACGCCGCATTTAATGCAGCGCAGCACACTCGTTCGGTCCGTGACAGGTCACAGTGTGTGACCGGTCACAGACCGGTCAGATCGCGGGTTAGGTGGCAACAGGCGGCCTTTCGCACGCCTCGCCCCGTCCCGTCGGAATGATGAGAGCCTCTAGGCACTCGTCCCTAGCCGGAGCCGGCGTGGGAACTCCTGGAGTTAGCACGTCAGTCCCGGCTAGATTCATACCAGGTTTCATCGCAACCATTACAAGGAAGTCATTTTATGAAGAAGGGCTGACGTGTGGCATGCTAAACTGACGCGTGGTAGACAAGGATGACCGGTTTGTGACTGGTCTGACGCCGGTCACGTCATCGGCAGACAACCGTGATCCCACGTTGCGCCTGCTTCCGGCGGAGTGGAGGTAGGTATGGCCCATCCCATCGGAGGGTCATTCGGACAGCAACCATGGCAAATCTCCGCCCATTAATGAGGGAGTAACAGGGAGATCCCCGGGTGTCAGGCGAGTGATGACGCTGGTCCTCACTCAAAGACAAGCTGTGATTTAGCTTCCAGGCGAAGGCGCAAGCCAGTCTTTTTTTTGGAAGATAGGGTGAGTCCCCACCCAAAAGAAGAGTAGGTAGAAGTGGTGCATGTGGTATCCCCTTGAGATATAAAAGGAGGACCTTGCCCACTTAAGAGGGGGGACGACTGGGAGAACACCGGAGCTCGTAGAGGAGAGAAAGAGGAAGAGGGTCTCTAGAGTTTGAACTCTCTTGCTCTCCAGCTCTTTGTAACTCCTTCATACACAGATCCACCAGAACACAGGAGTAGGGTATTACGCTTCTCAGCGGCCTGAACCTGTCTACATCGCCCGTGTCTTGCGTATTTGCTCTCTCGCGAAACATTCCACAGATCGAGGGCTTAGAACCTCACCTAGCGCCCCCGGTCGAACCGGCAAAGGGGGGCCCGCGCGGTCTCCCGGTGAGGAGCCCCACGCTCCGTCATCTGGCGCGCCAGGTAGGGGGCGCGTGTGTTTTTCTAAGCCCTCGTCCTCTTTCGTGTGCGCCAAGCTTCTCCCGCTCAGCCCAATGGCCGAACGGGCAGTGACACACAACCTCTCTCCGAGCGCTAGCGGTGACGACGGGGAGCAGAACCCGCGCCGTCGAGCTCGTACTCCACCGCCCCCCTCTCGCCGAAGTCTTAGGCGGGAGGAGGCGCTCGAGGGGGTCGAAAGATCCGCGACTTCGCCGCCCACGAGCGATGGAGAAGGATGGCGAGACGGGGAGCGTCGCCTCCTCGTCTACGGCGATGGCAGCACGCCCCAGGGCGTGCTCCAAGCTGCGGGCGCGCTCTTGCGTCACCCGCCCGTCGTCCCCGATCCAGAGACTCCAGCCCGACGTTGGCTGGACGACGTGGCCGACTTGGTCATGACGGCGCAGCAGCGCCTAGGCGCCGGTGGGCGGTCCTCCGCCACCAAGACCTCTGGCGCTGCTACCGCCGGCTTCGTGTCGTCGAGGCGGAAGGCGCGGCGAGCGGCGGCCGTTACCCGCCGTTCGTCTGCCATTCC